TTGAATGTTGTGGTTATTTTCTAAAGGTTTGGTAGTACTTTCCACAGTGATTTCTGTAATGAGTCTTCCAATGATTTACAGGGTTTTTTTCCCCTTAATTTACCCCCTAAATATATTCAATTAAATCCTGGCAACCTTAAACAATAGTCAGCATTTCTGTTCCAGTGAGCATAATTCTGTTGTGTTTTTGACTGTCTTTTGGCAATATGTCCCCTGGTGAAGTTTTCTGGGACAGCTTCTGTGAGGTTAGTAAGTTTGAAAGGATGGTTAGAAGTGCCCAGAGAAATATGAAGTTTTTGGGTTCTCCTCTGTGAAACAATATTTGTCAGAGCAAATATTTCTTACTAGCTCAGCCCTAGCAAACAGTCTGTACCCCATACTTACAGAAAATGGGGAAATTAAGCAGTGCTGCTTGTTTTTGTCAAAGCTTAATGAGAACATGGTGCTGAGCACTCATTTAAAGAGTGCACGGGAGCATGGCTGGGGCAGCATGAGGGGGTGGCTCCAGCTGCACTGCACCTTTGAGAAAGGCCTGCCTTGTGTCACAGCCGGCTGTGCTTCCACAAAGCTCTCCCAGAGCCCTGGGGGAGCAAGAGCTGGAGCAGGGACAGCATCTCCTGCCTGTGTTCTCTCCAGACCCACTGTGGGACTCGGATTCCCTGCTGAGTGCTTGGGGCCTTTCCTTCTCAGTGGGCACCAGTGGGTGGATATGTCGTCATAGGTGAAAGCTCAGCTGGAGACGTCTTGCAGCGTACTGGGCGTTTAAAAAGTGCTTTGCAGCCCTTGTCAGAAAGCATGGAATCCTGGAGGCACCTCAGAGAAACTGCATCCTAAAGTATACCAGTGTCCTTAAATTAAATGGGGTAGGGAGGAACCAGATGTGTTATATATTATATTCCATTCTATTCTGTGCTATCCTGTTCTATAAGACACTATTATATTATTCTGTACTTCTAATAATTCAGCTGAGGTACTGTGTGGTGCTCAGGAAGGGAAACATTGTCCACTCTGATTTAAGAAGTAGAAAATATTCTTAGTAAAAATAAAACCACAAGCAAAACACCAACAAGACAAAAAAAAAAAACCAAACAAATGAAAACACTACCAAAAAAAAAAACCAAACAAAAAAACAACCAAGCAAAAAACAGCAGAAAAGAAACCTCCGCTCTGAACCTGACAAGGAAATAGAGGACAGTGCTACCAACCACATTTGTAAAGTAAATTTGTTGTCAAGTCAACTTCATGCTCATTTCAGTAGGGTATGAGAGCTGACCAGGTTCCTACCAAACCACTGAGATTTTCATGCTTGTGCATTTTATAGGCTTGAGACATTAGTGAGTGAATCAGTTCAGAATGGGTGTTCTCCTTGGCTATCAGCAGAGGATCCTACCAATCCAAACTATCCTATGATTATTTGATTATGTTTGACTTTGCTATGGACCCCATTTCACAAATACTCTGTTTTCCCTTCTATTGTGTTCATGAAGTTTAAGAAGCCAGCACTGTGCAGAATCAAACCTTCCAGTGGAACTTTGCTGGGCCAATATTTTAATTAACTTGTTTCAATCATCTCAGTGGCCTGACATAAGTATCCTGTGTTGAAGAACACCTCTATAAAAATAAATCTGCGCTGCCATTTGCATGAAGTCATCTTGTGCTATATTATCTCATGTCACTCCTAACCCAGGTAAGGAATCCCTGAGGGCAGTGGCCGTGTCTGTGTTCTTTTGTAAATCACTGTGCACACCTGTGCTTTGCTGTAGAAACATGTTAAATAATAACACCTTTTAGAGGGTTCACTAAATTATGAGTAGTTGGAAGCACTAAGCTCCTGTACTGGGCATGCCACAGTGTCTGTGGGTGGGTGTGCAAATGTCTGTGTACGTTGAAGATGAAATTTCAGCTCTTGCTTTGGGATTTCCTGAGGCAGTTTAGTTAAATCATGAATATTACCTCAATATATTGTGCAGGGCTTATCAGTGGGCCAGTGCCACTTTTCCAGAATTATAGAATTACTGAGTGACACCCACCTGAAACTGGTCTTAGACACAAACCTGTTTCTGCAAAAGGTTGTCCTTGCCTTAAGAAGCTGTGTCTTTCAGCTGGAGAGGGCAAGAGAAGAGAGGTTCTCTTACCTTTCTTGGGAGATACTATTACTCCTCTTACAGAGGGGCATGAGGAGGTTAAGGCATTTATCCTTAGGGCAGAAGGCCCTGTGAGAGAACAAGTTGTCCTCTTGTTGGATTCTTTCTGGCGGGGGATTCACAGAGGAATTTGACTGCAAACTTCTCAACCAAGGACTGAAACACCATTTCAGGATGTTCATGGTGGGATAGGAGTCCTCCCAGGGAGAAACAGCAGCTCCTGGGAGCTCCTGGGAATTCCCTGCTCTTCTCTTCCACACCCTGTTGTAGCACAGTGTTGAACTGGAGGCATGGAGGGCTCCGGGCACAGCTCTGCTCAGCATCCCCGTGCCTGCCAGAGAATTCCACGGCTCTTGGAGGGCACTCTTGACATTCACCCCTCCCCACATGCCACACCTGCATGGCATTGGATCCACAGCCTTCCTTTACTTTGCATTGGAAAGAAGAACTAACTGAGGGGTCTGCCCAGAAGAATTGCTGAGGTTGCGTCTGCTTCTGTTTCAGAGAGATGCTAAATGTTTTCTCGTCCCCCTTTGGAGCTGATGACATTTCTTGACAAACCAGTAAGATAAGCAACTTCAAGCTTATCTCGAGAGCTGGCTGCTTCTGTTTGTCAGCACAGACTTTCTTCCTGGACTCACCTCCTGTGTTAGCCAACACAGGTTTTAAATATATATGTATAAATCCAGAAACTCCTTTTGAAAACACATACAAAGCAAGCCTAGCCCAGGGCGTTGTGCAGGTATGAGGTACTGCTTTCAGGCTAGAAACCAGTGTTTACAGTGTACAAAATTAATTTCAGCTATAGGGCCAGAGCTGGTCACCTAGAGCTAGATCTGCAACAGGCTGTTGGCTCTAAAGCCTGTCTTTTAGATGTTCTTCCAGACAGTATTTTCCCTGTGGCCAGCACGGGAATCCAGCCTCCCCGAGCACAGAGTTGGAACCAAAAATGCCAGACTCCTAGAAGGTATCAAACTGCATGGGGAAGCCCCAAAACTGGGAGCAGAAAATGCAAAGAAAGGGAAAGAGTCTAAACTTATCCTATCAGAGTTTAGCCAGATTTCCCTGCGCAGTGAGCCTTTCCAGCTCTGCTGGCAGCAGTCATCTCAGTGTAATTGCTGAGGGTATATGGTGGTTTTAGAAAAGGAGAGCCCACCCTTAATGTTCTGACTGAGGAAAAAAGATTTCTTTACATGAAAAGCCAGAAGATGACTTTTTTTGGTTTCACTGATTAGAAAAAAGACATTCTAGTGAACACAGTATAACTTCTTTTAGTGTATTTTTCTAGTTTTTTTTCATTTAACTTGATTCTATCAAGTACAGAATGAGCATGACCTTAAAGTAAATTCATAAATAAAATTAAGTACTAATTCTACTTAGTCATGACATTTCTGAAAGAAGATTTATGAAGTGCAGCAGTGTCTTTTATTAAACTGAATCACATACACTAGGTGTCTATTTGGTGTAGACCTAGTAAGTAAATACTTATTTAAGTTATATGTCAGATTTCCAATCTAGATCCAGACAAATATCATAAAATGGCATAATCCTCCAGGGTGTGGTAGCTTTCTCTGCCACAGCAATCTAAGAGGAGCATTATGTCGAATAACTAAGGACATGTAGGATACCTTGCTCTGCACACCCCTTTGTGACGACAGCAATGAACGTGGAGGATGTACTGCCCGAACTCAGAAATGGTGACAGCCAGTCTGGGGCCTCTTAAAACTGTTTCAGGCTACTGCTCATGGAGAAACAGCTCCTGTGTGCCCAGGACAGCACTTCCCAGGCACAGAAACTGTTGTGCTTTCTTGTCTGGTGACTCTGCTCTTCAAGGTGGCCTTCTTCTGAGAAAGTGTATAGACATAGATAAAAGACCATTTCTTCTCTTTGACAAAAAAGAGAAAGAACAATTTGTGTCAAGTAGAGTACCAGAATGTTGCATTTTTCTATAAAATTCTGCACAGGAATGTGGCAGAGAGAGGGGATTGCTGGGAACTGCTGTTGGACTGTCTCCTGGAGGATAGTTCTGCATTAAGGTTGTCCTACAAATGTGTGGCTCACAAAAGTTCCTGACAAACTTGGCAGGACCGGCTCAGTCTGTGAAATCCCCCAGGCCAGTGCAGTGAGCCCCGTGACTGGTGGCCCACCCTGCAGCTTGGGGGCTGTCCTGTGTTCTCTGGTGCACCCCACGCAAGGCAGCATTTGGCAGGTGGGTCACAGAGTCTTGTGTGGCTCTTCAGGATGCTCCCACTCCCTTGGCATCTCCCATGCCAGCAGAAGGGTGATGCCTCACCAGCCCCAGGTGCTCTGGTGGCTGCAGCAGGGGCTGGGTTGGCAGGTTGTCTGTATGTGCCTTGTCTGCTCTGCTGATTTTGCTCAGAGATGGCATCTCAGCACAGGGCAAACAGCTGGGCAGTGACCCTGTGAGTCACTGCCATCCTCTCAGAGCTCAGGGTTTGTGGACAGCAAATGAGAAAGTTCTCATTGGTGAAAGGGCTGGGTGGAGAGTTTCATTTGGATTCTATTTTCCAAATGCCCTTTTACACAGCTTGTGTGGCTCAGGCTTCACCTTCCTGAGACATCTGACTTGCCTGACCATCCTTCTGGGAGGAGTCAACTAATGGTGTCTGAGCTTCTTGGTGTTTACAGGGTCCTTGCCTGGTAGTCACATTTGTAACCCCAGAGAACAAGACACGGCACAAATCACACATATGAAAGAGATTTAAAAGAGTAAAGAGCTCAGAGGGTTTTGGATAAATACACAAAGTTTGGATTCTGGTCCAAACCTCTCTGGTTTGCAAAATGACTCTGGAAGCATCACAAGAGCAAAGTCTTTTTTTTTTTTTTTTTTTCCAGCCCTGGAGTTTCTGGTACTGACAGGAGTTGGGAAGTGACAAGATTTACATAAACAAGGAAGAATTATCTGAATCTTCTCAGGACTCACGACAGGTACTGAACTAATGTTTAATCTGGGTCTGGCCAGCTAACCCTACCAGGTTGTTTTATCCACTAGACTAGTAGTTGTTGTTTATTGTTTGTGTTGTGTTAAGCTCATGTCTTGCCACGTATTGGGCAAGCTCACCCTAAAATGCTGACCCAAGCCTGCAAGGGTTTGACAAAGGGCAGGTGCCAGCCCTAAGACTTATCTGCTGAAAAAACTAAATGTTATAAGAATAGAAAGATCCAATTTCTAGTCCACAAAGAGCTTCCGTTGTTTTCAAGCCCTGGAAATGAAGGAGAGTTTTAAACAAAGATCAGAAGAAAAAAAATTATAGGTTTTTAAGGTACTCCACCTTCAGACCAGGATCCAGGCTTTGTGACCGGGAAAGAAGGAACAACTCCCTTTCTGCTGCATAAATACATGAGTATTTCAATAGGTGGACTGGTATTAACACCAGTCTTTGAGATGCTGCCTTCATAAAAGTACTTTTAAAAACCACTAGCAAGTGTGTCTACTGCAAGTCCCCCATTAAACTGAGATATGGGTCTCATTAAATAACCTTTCCAGCCCCCCACTTTGCAGCAGCCCGTTCCCAGATCTGAACTTTGGAGCTGACCCCTGTCTTTGAGATGGGCCAAACCAAAAGCCAGATCTGAACACCACTGAACTCTGGGAAAGTTCAAATCTATCGTTTGTGGTTCAGGTTGAGCTCTAATTAAAACAGACCAGTTAGAAAGGCAAATGTCTTAAAACCAAAACAAAACAAATGTTTCACGTGAAAAGTTTTGGATTAGGCTATATGGGACCAAGTAGTGTTTTTGTCTATCACATGATGTCATGTTGCTCTGGTTAACACAAGCTGACAGCATGCACATGCTGCCATGGGAGATATTCCATGCAGACACTTTGAGTCCAGCTTTGAGCAGAACGCAGTATCCATGGAAATACTTCATGCTCTGCAAGAAACCATCAGCAATGGGTAGCTACTCTTACTGCTACTCAGCCCTGAAGGTAGTCTGCTGCCTTCCCAACTTTCCCTGCCCATCTCTAGTCTCACAGTAGTACAGGATCTCTCAAAAATCAGTGTCTTGCCTTCTCTAAGTGAAGCTTATGCCTCATTATGTCAGCAGTATGTGGAATATTGCCACTAATCCCTGAAAACAAACAAAGGGTGCTGCAGAACCTTGGGTTGTGTAAGAGGGCAGGGAAATCCCAGCTGACTCTCCTGCTCAGAGCTTCTGTTTATACTGTAGTTAAAACTACAGTGTCTGTAATAAAGCAACATGTTTCATCAATGGGAAAGGGAAAAGAAAACAGAAGGGAAGGGAACTTGGTTTCAGCATTACTGAACTGCTGAAGTGAGAGAAAACAGACACAGCAAGGAGAAAGGCAAAGGGAAAGAGGGAAAAGGTGTTAATGCCCCATCACTGGTGTCAGGATGTCACTGTGCACCAGCAGCTGGAAAAAGAGTATCTCAGACAGGAAGATTTACTGAGAGAATCACAGCACACACAGTGAGTAACTGTGCTGTTACTTTCCACATGGGCTTTATTCTCTACCTGATGTTCCACGTAAGTACTGAGCATGAGCTGAGTATTTTCTCTTTGTGAAATTTGAGTTCAGGCTCTTTGTGGACAATTAGCTAAGGTTTCCAAACTTTCTTCTTATGCAAACAATGCTAATAATCCCACCAGGCCTCTTCAACTGAGATTTTTCAGTGTGGTCTTTTTTCGGGCCTGGACTCCCTTTCTAAAAGACCAAATCCCTTCACAACATTTCTGTCCTTTGCTTTCTCTTTGGATAGGAAGACTTTACAGCGACCATTTTTGTTTGAGGTTATGTCCCAAATGTGTAAGTGGAGGCTAGTCCCCACTAATTCAACCTTGCAATTCCTCACTGAAATTAGTCATCTTCAGTCTCCAGACAGTGAGGTATGAAGTGACATGCCCAAGGTCACAAGAAAAGGCACAGCTTGGAACAGAATCCAAGTCTGTATCTCCTGTCCATGCTTTAACCATAAAATGATGGTTCTCACATTCAACCAGGAGCCACAAGGTATGTGAAGAAGGATAGGAAGGGAACGGTAATGAGCTTCTTGGTGTGGCACCTTCCTCTCAGCTTGGACAAAGAGAATGGAAAACTGTTTTATCCATTCTTCATGAATACTTCTCAGGTTAAAGAATATTCAAATCTTTACACTTTTTGCTCAAAAGGAAATTTTCAGGTCAGACCTTTCTTTATTGGTGAAGTTGTAATTAAAAGAACAATCTTTCTATGTAATAATTCTCTATCAGTATCCTAATTCTGTATATGGCATCATTTAAAACACACCAAAACAGTAGAAAGTAGAAAGCAGTAAAAGACACATCTATACAAAGGAATGAGAAACTCACAGTATTTTCTTCAGCACCAGTTTTGTAAAGGAGGACTGACAGGAACCCAGTTGTTACTTTAGAATTTTCTTTAAAGCAAGTAGAGTTGAATGGGAATAGATAACTTCTCATGTTCTACACGTGATAATATACTGATGTCCAGCAAATCTAGTTGAAAGAATCACACAGTTTTGTGACATTGTGAGAAATATGGCAGAAAATATATGATTATTGACGTGTGCTAATCCTTCTCTGAGTATGGGGTACCCCAAATGCTTAGGAATGAGAAGCAGTCAGAGATTAAAACCCACTTTGCTTAGGGAAGTTCACCACCTTTGCCACACAGTGAATACCCTGTGTGTTCTTGCCTGGGACGCTGGCATTGGCAGGTTTCCAAACTACTGCCTTAGACATGGAGATGATCCTTCCCAAATGCGCTGACAGGTACCTGCCCCTGAGAGCCAGAACTGCCCCGAGTGACTGCCCCAGCCAAGCACAAGTGCTCTGTGCTGCCCACTCCTGCTTTGGGCTCCTGCTCCCTGCCCTTCACCATCCCCACTTTCTGCTGCTCCTGGCCCATCTCTTTTTCTTCCCTTCTCCCTTTACATGCACTCATAGGTCTGCTATGCTCTTTCCCACTTCCCCACGGCCCTAACCAGGCAGTTGAAAGGCTTCCATCACGAAGATTGGAAACATATTCCATATTAAATGTAACAGGATAGTATGGCCAGCAGGTCCATGTTTCAAACACATTCAATTTCTGTCACAGCTGAGAATAAACAGCAGGGGAAGCTACTTGATGGGTTGGTGGAGGCTGTGGCTACCCTTTCTTGTGGAACATGTCTCTGTCACTTGCTAAATAGGTGCACCATCTGGTGGTAATTTTGGACTCCCACTTCTTAAATTTCCAAAGAGCAGTGGTGGAGCTATGCCTGTGGTTGCTGCACTTTTATTTTTTTTGCCAGTATCTGTCTGAAAGTCATCAGCTAAGACAACTTTTGTAGGTACTACTGGTGAGTGAGTACTAAGAATAGGTAGGACTTTAAATGAGGATCAAGTTTCTATGTCTGCTGGGTGGGGCAAGTAGGTGTGACTTGAGGAGAGGACCACATGCTGCCCTGAGAAACATACAGAGAGAGGTGGAAAAATTCCATAGACAAACAAAAATTAGGTATTAACAAGCTTCATACCTAATTAGGGAGACTAAGCTCCCAGGACAGGCAACAGGGACAGTCATACAGTCAAATTAAGATCCAAATCACCCCCTGGAAGAGCTTCTTCTCTTCTTTGACCATACAAGGAATACAGGCGGACTAGGTTCCTATCTAAGACATCTCATGCAAATGCCTGGAGTTGTGTGGTATGAAACTAGGCCAAAGGAAAGAAGTGAGGAAGGGGCTCCTCATTTCTCTGCCTTGGTTGTCTGAAGCCCATGAGTTCAGCAGCAGAGAGAAATCACTGCTATGTCTTGTGCCATTGCCCTCAGAAACTGCAAGATTGCACTGGCCGTGTCAGATGGAACTTTGCGTGGAGATCTATTCTGAACAGGATGGGCGGAGGCTGAACCAGACAGAAAATGAGTTTCCACATTTTCATTAAGAAATGAGTGAACAGGTAAAATTAAATCATGATCTGTGAGTAAACCTTCTTCTTTTCGGCGACTTGAAAAGAGCTCTCAAGTCTACAGAAGTTCATTTCACGTCTGCTGAGCTTCTACCTAGAGAAGGCAGTGTCCTCTTCCAGTGCACCAGCGAGGCTTCTGGGGTGAAAGCAAACTACTTAAAGACTCCTCAGCAATCCAAGCCTGTTTGACTGACACTGGTTAAGTCTTAGGAATCATCTTTCTCACAGAATCCCAGAAAACAGAGCCTCTGCAGTAGAGAGAGCATTATAAAGTCGTGTCCTAGAACCACTTCAGGTGGATCTAGGATGGGCAGAAGCACCTATCATCAGCTCAAGCTTGCATGCTGGCTTTCACTATGACTTCTATATTCTGCAAACCACTTGGTTCTGCATGTAAAGTGAAACACTTTTAAAGTCTCTTTAAGAAGACTTAAAATGGAAGGATTAAAGTTTAGCACATATTGGGCAAACAGAGCAGGGCTGAAGTTGTTGGCCAGTTTGAATCCGGAGTGAACTACAACCTTACAACCACAGTTGTAAGTTCATTTTTCTCTTGCTGGCTTACTTTATTTCTCTCATTTCAATTTGTCTCTTCTCTCAGTAACAATAATATTGTACTTTGACGTCAATGAGAAATAAACTGGAGTCATGCAGAATTTAATCCAAGGCTAAAAAGTCAGGCACGATACGCTCGAAGGAAATGTTGTCAATTAGAAAATAAGGTATTTGTCAGATGTAATATTGTGCAATACATCAGCCACTTCATTAGGAAAAGAAATTGCTCGTGACTGGAGGCACGACAGCAACCGGCATGGATCAGTGATCTAAGCCTGGGTGCTGAACGCTTGTTTGCAAAGCAAAATGTGAAGATCAACAAACACTGTGTTTTTCGTAATGTTTGCTCTTGCCTCGCTGTGCATTTCAAGCTTTTCAATTTAGAAACAGATGGTTTACCAAGCAGAATGTATCCCAAAGAACAGAGGAGGAAAGGGAGGGATGCTGCTACATATGTAA